CGCCGCAGCTCACCAGGGCCTCCGCCGACGTCCTCTCCAAGTGCAAGAAGGCGCTGTCAGAGCACAACGTGCTGGTGGTGGAGGGTGCGCGCAAGTACGCCTGCAAGATCTGCTGCAAGACCTTCCTGACACTGACAGACTGCAAGAAGCACATCCGCGTGCACACGGGGGAGAAGCCCTACGCCTGCCTCAAGTGCGGCAAGCGCTTCAGCCAGTCCAGCCACCTGTACAACCACCCCATGCAGCTCCAGGCTGGGGGAGCAGTGGCTGGAGAGGTGTTGGTCACAAAGGACTTGGGCGCTGCCGGGACCGCAGATGCCGGTGCGCGGCGGTGCCACATCGGCAGAGCCCGGGCTCTGCCATGGGGATATTTGGTACCTACCTCGCAGGGTGTCGTGGGGCCTGGGCAGCCTGTCAGGGCTGGCATGGGGATGCGGTCCTTGGCGTGAGCAGCCCCTTTGCAGGGCAGAGGGGCGGCAGCACGGGGATCTTGTGGGACAGCACGTTTCAGCAGTGAGAAACTGAAGTGCAAATTCCCTCTCTTTTTTTTGTTCCTTTCTCTAAAGCATTTTGTAACAGTGGAAGCATTTAAACCATTACCTGTACTACGAGTTGCTGCGCTATGTGTGGGCAGTGGCACAGAGTGCTTACCTTCCAAAGGGATAAGCAGCTTTGGATGCTGCTGCCCCACATAATGCTCAAAGTACACTAATTATAATGAGATAGTTCTAGGGTGATGAATGTATGTTTGGCTGTTTTGTAGTAAAGGACACTGTGTAATGAAGGTGCTTAAGGTAAACCCCAGACGAGTCACTTCTGGACTGCCAGGTGCACATACCCTTGGCACACAGCAAGGTCTGGGCGCTTGGCTGATCTCTTTTCCCGTAGGAGCTCGTATTAAGTGATAAGTGAAGTACTGTCTCTTGTTTGTGCTATTCTAGCAGTATTTTAACCAGTTTGTATCTCCTATGTTACCGTTCTTTATACGCAGAGGTCTGGACGGAGCTTTGAAGGAGGGAGGTGACTCCTGAGTGGCTCTTTCGGCCGCCTGAGCGCCTCTCACTGTTCCAGATGCCAGCAGCCCATCTGGGCCCCGTTACTGCGTGAGCATGTTGTCCTTTCCCTTATCTCCAGCTTCCATTTCCTCCCCTGTGCACTTACTGAGTCCCCTGCCCCGTGGGTTCCTCAGGTCCGACCGGCAGGAACATCCCTCGTTTGCCATATTTATTCGTGTCTCTCCAGCCCTTCCACTTAAACTAGTATCACATAAACTAAAGAAACTAGGGTGCATTTAAGTTCCAGCAGCAGCACTGTACCCTCTATGTGGCAGAAATCCATCATCCTCCCAGCTAGCCATTAAGCCTCCTTTTCTTTTCCTCCTGGAGAGCACCAGGCAGAAAGGGACCTGGGAGTTTGGATGGATAGAAAGCTGAACATGAGCCAGCAGTGTGCTCAGGTGGCCAAGAAGGCCAATGGCATCCTGGCCTGGATCAGGAACAGCATGGTCAGCAGGGCCAGGGAGGTGATTCTGCCCCTGTACTTGGTGCTGATGAGGCCACACCTTGAATCCTGTGCTCAGTTCTGGGCCCTTCAGCTCAGGAGGGACATTGAGGTGCTGGAGCAGGTCCAGAGAAGAGCAGCGAGGCTGGTGAAGGGACTCGAGCACAAGTGCTATGAGGAGAGGCTGAGGGAGCTGGGGTGGTTCAGCCTGGAGAAGAGGAGGCTCAGGGGAGACCTTATCACCCTCTACAACTCCCTGAAAGGAGGTCGTAGTCAGGTGGGGGTTGGTCTCTTCTCCCAGGCAGTCAGCAGGAGGACAAGAGGGCACAGACTCAAGCTCTGTCAGGGGAAGATTAGGTTAGATATTAGGAGGAGATTTTGTACAAAAAGAGTAATCAGGCATTGGAATGGTCTGCCCAGGGAGGTGGTGGATTCACTATCCCTGGAGGTTTTCAAGATGAGACTGGATGTGGCACTTAGTGCCATGGTCTAGTAACCATGGTAGTAGGGTTGGACTCGATGATCTTTGAGGTCTCTTCCAACCGAGTTGATTCTATGATTCCTTGTGGATGCAGCTGGATCCTGCTCTACCTGCAGTCTCGTTTGTCCCTTACCACAGGTGCCCACGAGCTGCAGTCCAGCGTATTCAGGCTTTTAAGTGCAGTTCTTGAGCAGTTCTGCTGGTGGTTGGTGCTGCTGAGCCCTGCAGGAGCTGGGTCAGGGCTGCAGTGCGTCCTCCCGCTTGGGTGGGACAGAGGATTCCCTGCGCCTGCCAAGTCAGCTCCGCCACGCCTGGAGCGTCTTGAGGTGCTCCCAGAAACGCAGGGGATAGTTGGGTTAATTCCTGTAGGTCACCGAGGGCTTGTTACATGGTTCACTTCACAGTCACATTTCTGGCTCTTGGTTTTTCTAAGCATTAAAAGCTGTGGTTTTTATCGCCCTGTTCTATTGGTTAACGATTCCGGTATCGGGGACTAACAGCTTTGAGCTGCATAAACACCCATCCAAACATCAATAAAATCCAGTATTTTGTACTATAATCGCTGTGTTTCTCCTTCCTGGCATTTCTGGTGTTTTCCTTTCAAAACAAAGTTTGGATTTTTCCACATTTTCTGTCTCCCGTAGCACATCCAATTCCTTGAATCCTTAGAGCACCTGTGTGAGTCAGGAGCCTAATTAAGGCCTAACATGAGCAGATAAACACTTAACTGGGCCTTTGATCTGCTTCCATAAAGATTTTAGTGTGGAATATCAGAGCAGGAGGACTTTTGTCTCCTTTCTTTAAGTAAAAGGTTGACCTGGGGTTTTTGAAGGCAGCAGCTTCCAGTTTCGGTGTCCACTGACACCCTGTGTGTCCCGAGGGGCACTGCAGGCCTGGGCCCTGCAGCTGACTTGCTGCTTCCTGAATCTTCCCAGATGGAGCAATAAATTCCTGGGAATGGTGTTAAAGCTCAGCTGTCCCCTCTGGATGTGAGGGTGTCTCACCTCACAGCCTGTTGGAAAGCTATTGCCCCGAATTCCACTCGGTGGGATCTCATGTTCTGTTGGAACTGTTCTGGATTTGTTGTAGTGTCCAAAAGACCTAGAAATAAACCTGCTGTGTCCACTTGGATTCACTGCACTTCACAGCAGCCTGCACAGAAACACCTGTGACTGAAAGTGATGGCAGCAGCCTGAACTTGGTAGTAATTTTGTCCCTGGTAGAGTTCTCTCTAAGAACTGACTGTGGTCATTACTGGAATAATGTTAATATCTGCACAGCATCCATAAAATCCGTGATCCAGTCACTGCTGCTCTCTGAATTCCTCATGGAAGGACAACACAGGTGCAGGAGGTGCTTGTCTCAAAGGGACACCTGAGATGCGCTCCAGCCCCTCTGGCAGCTCGTTGACTAGCTTGTGTCTATTAACGGACCTGGGTGTGCTGGTTTGGGCTCGGGCAGAACTAACCTCCTTCCCAGCAGCTTGTCCAGCCTGTGGATTGGTTTGTGCCGAGCACAAGGTGAGAGTGCAA